TTTTGGTACTGAAACTCTACCCCGAGCTACACTCGGGAATACCGCCAGGGAGGTTAAAAAAGGGTCCAGCACCATTTCAGTGCAGATGTGATTTGAAGCATACAATATGTACGGCTCAAACTGCACTACACAGACGTTTGCATGTCATTCGCCCAGGAATGCGGTGCGACTCCTGTGTGAATTATATGCGGTGTCCCGCACCACATGGTGTGATCCCGGGCTTAGGCTTTCTTCAGACAGGAGCTAAGCTTACCTGACAGGTCTTCTGAAGTGCTACTGATGCCTCTTCATTCACATTTGTTCTTTTTAAATTGCCGAAAAGCAATTTTACATTGTGGGACCACCACAGACATTCACCCCATTGATCCCAATGGGCAAGTTTGATAGGCAGTGCTGTCCATCACACACTGCAGCCTGTGGTACAAATGCAGCATGTAGGCAGGTGACTACAAAGGGGTGAGCATGTCTTCCTGGGTACCTTCTTGTTTCTCCTGTCTGTGCTCATTTATTTATTTCAGGTCCTTATATAGAGCTGTCAATGTACGCAGTGCTTTACATATATATTGTACATTCACATCAGTCCCTAACCCTCAAGGGGTGTACAATCTAAGGTCCCTAACCCTCAAGGGGTGTACAATCTAAGGTCCCTAACTCACATTCATACATACACATACTAGGGACAATGTAGACAGGAGCCAATTCACCTACCAGCATGTCTTTGGAGTGTGGGAGGAAACCAGAGTACTCGAAGGAAACCCATGCAGGGCACAGGGAGAACATGCAAACTCCAGGCAGGTGATGTTGCAGTTGGGATTTGAACCAATGACTCTAGTACTGCCAGGTGGAAGTGCTAATCATTTAGCCATTGTGCTGCCCATGGCCACAACTTACTAGAGCCAGCCAGGTACACATTATTACAATGAAGATGTGTGGTGGATCTGAGGAAGTGATTGGCTAGATGTTCCTGGCACTTTTCTAGAGCTCTACAAAAAAAGGGCTCACTATCCAGAGCAGTCTCCCCGATAAAGCACTGCCATGATGTAGAACAGTGGTCTCCAAACTGTGGCCCTTTGCTTGCCTTTATCTGGCCCTTGAGGCACTTTTTCTCCCACTGATAAAAGACACTATTCCCCCCCCCCCACTGAAACCAACAAAGGGGCATAATTCCTGCTACTGACATCAGCAATGGGGCCCATTGACACTAACAATGGGGCCCTATTTCTCCCACTGACACCAAGAACAGGGCACTATTCCTCCCACTGACACCAATGATGAGGCACTCAAACTGACACCAACGATAAGGCACTATTCCTCCCACTGAAACTAACGACGGGACACTATTCCTCCCACTGACACCAATGATGGGGCACTATTCCTCCCACTGACACCAATAATGGGGCACTATTCCTCCCACTGACACCAATGATGGGGCACTATTCCTCCCACTGACACCAATGATGGGGCACTATTCCTCCCACTGACACCAATAATGGGGCACTATTCCTCCCACTGACACCAATGATGGGGCACTATTCCTCCCACTGACACCAATAATGGGGCACTATTCCTCCCACTGACACCAATGATGGGGCACTAATCCTCCCACTGACACCAATGATGGGGCACTATTCCCTCCACTGACACCAATGATGGGGCACTATTCCTCCCACTGACACCAGCAATAGGGCATTATTTCTCCCCCGAATAACAAAGATGCATGGAGGAGACCAGATATAGTGAATGCAATGCAGGTCCGGGGAGAGCGGATATAGTGAATGCGGGGTCCGGGGGATGAGAGCGGATATAGTGAATGCAGGGTCCAGGGAGAGCGGATATAGTGAATGCGGGGTCCGGGGAGAGTGGATATAGTGAATGCGGGGTCCCGGGAGAGCGGATATAGTGAATTCAGGGTCCGGGGAGAGCAGATATAGTGAATGCGGGGTCCGGGGAGAGCGGATATAGTGAATGCGGGGTCCGGGGAGATCAGATATAGTGAATGCGGGGTCCGGGGAGACAGGATATAGTGAATGCGGGGTCCGGGGAGAGCGGATATAGTGAATGCGGGTTCCAAGGAGACCGGATATAGTGAATGCAGGGTCCGGGAAGACAGGATATAGTGAATGCAGGGTCCGGGGAGACAGGATATAGTGAATGCAGGGTCCGGGGAGACCAGATATAGTGAATGCAGGGTCCGGGGAGAGCGGATATAGTGAATGCAGGGACCAGGGAGACCAGATATAGTGAATGCAGGGTCCGGGGAGAGCGGATATAGTGAATGCAGGGTCTGGGGAGAGCGGATATAGTGAATGCGGGGTCTGGGGAGAGCGGATATAGTGAATGCGGGGTCTGGGGAGAGCAGATATAGTGAATGCAGGGTCCTGGGGAGAGCAGATATAGTGAATGCAGGGTCAAAGGAGTCCGGATATAGTGAATGCAGGTGTAACAGAGTGCAGAGAGAGAGCACACGGAGACCGAATGCACGGAACCCAACGTGCGGGCGTTTATTGGTGAGTTTTTTCGGGGTACGGACTATAAAACAGCTAGTCCACAGATCCACACAAGATACAGTAAAGTTCTGAGGATGCCAATATGGGATGACAGGGGGCCAATAATAATTTATTGGGTTCAGCAGGACAGAGCGGTGGGGTTACCATGGGAGTTGGAGTCCACGGGGCAGAATTGGGCTAAGTCTTTTGGGGCGGCACGGGGTTAGTCCACTTACTGGATGCAGGGACAGTGGCAAGGCGGGTTACAGTCCACACAGGAGAGAGATCTGGGCAGCAGAGGGTTACTCCTCTCAGGCAGAGGATCCAGGCAGCAGAGGGTTAATCCTCAGCAGGCAGAGGGATCTGGGCAGCAGAGGGTTAATCTTCCAGACAGAGGGATCTGGGCAGCAGAGGGTTAAACCTCACAGGCAGAGGGATCCGGGCAGCAGAGGGATCTGGGCAGCAGAATCCTCCAGACAAGGGATCTGGGCAGCAGAGGGTTAATCCTTACAGGCAGAGGGATCTGGACAGCAGAGGGTTACTCCTCCAGACAGAGGGATCCATGGGCAGCAGAGGGTTACTCCTTCCAGACAGAGGGATCCGGGCAGCAGAGGGTTACTCCTCCAGACAGAGGGATCCGGGCAGCAGAAAGTTACTCCTCCAGACAGGGATCCGGGCAGCAGAGGGTTACTCCAGACAGAGGGATCCGGGCAGCAGAGGGTTACTCCTCCAGACAGAGGGATCCGGGCAGGGATCCGGGCAGAGAGGGTTACTCCTCCAGACAGAGGGATCCGGGCAGCAGAGAGTTACTCCTCCAGAACAGAGGGATCCGGGCAGCAGAGGGTTACTCCTCCAAGCAGAGGGATCCGGGCAGCAGAGGGTTACTCCTCCAGAGAGAGGGATCCGGGCAGCAGAGGGTTACTCCTCCAAGACAGAGGGATCCGGGCAGCAGAGGGTTACTCCTTCCAGAGAGAGGGATCCGGGCAGCAGAGGGTTACTCCTCCAGGAGCAGAGGGATCCGGGCAGCAGAGGGTTACTCCTCCAGGCAGAGGGATCCGGGCAGCAGAGGGTTACTCCTCCCCGGCAGAGGGATCCGGGCAGCAGAGGGTTACTCCTCCAAGCAGAGGGATCCGGGCAAGAGGGTTCCTCCAGGCAGAGGGATCCGGGAGAGGAGATCCGGGCAGCAGAGGGTTACTCTCCCGACAGAGGGATCCGGGCAGCAGAGGGGTCACTCCTCCAGGACAGAGGGATCCGGGCAGCAGGAGGGTTACTCTCACAGAGACAGAGGGATCCGGGCTGAGCAGAGGGTTACTCCTCCAGCGCAGAGAGATCGGGGCAGACTGGCCGCAGCCGGGTTACCCTCAGCCCGACAGGAGGAGACAGATCAGTGAGGACTGGAGAACTGGCCCATGGGCGCAACCTTACTCACACAGACAGGAGATCAGTGCAGAGGAACAGAGGGATCCGGGTTTCCGCTCCCATTTATACAGAGCCGGGCGCTGAGACTTAGCGTCGAGTTACCATGGCAACGGGCCCATCCCCCTTAATGCAGTGTAGCGGCAAGATTAGTATCACCTGAAGCAACAGCCCATGGCCGGTTTAAGGCACGACAAGCCTCACCGAAATACTGCAGCCGAACATGTACCTGAGTTACATTAACCCCCTATATGCCGGGCGGCCGGGCATGGTTACAGGAGAGTCACATTTTCTGCAGCGACATTGGGGGGTCAACTCATGGAGGGGGGTGTCAATGGGGGGGAGGGGCACATAGTGTCAGTGACATGGGGTGAGAGAGCACAGTGTCAGTGACATGGGGGGGGGGGGACAGAGCACAGGTCAGGACATGGGGGGGGGGGGGAGCACAGTGTCAGTGACATGGGGGGGGGGAGCACAGTGTCAGTGACATGGGGGGGGGGGGCTGTCTAGCAGCACAGTGAAGTCAGTGACATGGGGGGAGAGCACAGTGTCAGTGACATGGGGGGGGGAGAGCACAGTGTCAGTGACATGGGGGAGAGAGCACAGTGTCAGTGACATGGGGGGGGAGAGCACAGTGTCAGTGACATGGGGGGGGGGAGAGCACAGTGTCAGTGACATGGGGGGGGGAGCACAGTGTCAGTGACATGGGGGGGCAGAAGACACAGTGTCAGTGACATGGGGGGGGAGAGCACAGTGTCAGTGACATGGGGGGGGAGAGAGCACAGTGTCAGTGACATGGGGGGAGGGAGCACAGTGTCAGTGACATGGGGGGGAGAGCACAGTGTCAGTGACATGGGGGGGGGAGCACAGTGTCAGTGACATGGGGGGGGAGCACAGTGTCAGTGACATGGGGGGGGGGACGAGCACAGTGTCAGTGACATGGGGGGGGAGAGCACACAGTGTCAGTGACATGGGGGGAGCACAGTGTCAGTGACATGGGGGTGGTGACATGGGGGAGAGCACAGTGTCAGTGACATGGGGGGGAGAGCACAGTGTCAGTGACATGGGGGGGGGGGGGAGCACAGTGTCAGTGACATGGGGGGAGAGCACAGTGTCAGTGACATGGGGGGGAGGGAGCACAGTGTCAGTGACATGGGGGGGAGAGCACAGTGTCAGTGACATGGGGGGGGGGGAGCACACAGTGTCAGTGACATGGGGGGGGGAGCACAGTGTCAGTGACATGGGGGGGGAGAGCACAGTGTCAGTGACATGGGGGGGGGGAGAGCACAGTGTCAGTGACATGGGGGGGAGAGCACAGTGTCAGTGACATGGGGGGGGGAGAGAGCACAGTGTCAGTGACATGGGGGGGGGGGGGAGAGCACAGTGTCAGTGACATGGGGGGAGGGAGAGCACAGTGTCAGGGTGGACATGGGGCAGAGCACAGAGGTCAGTGACATGGGGGAGAGCACAGTGTCAGTGACATGGGGGGGGGGAGAGCACAGTGTCAGTGACATGGGGGGGGGGAGGTGTCAGTGACATGGGGGGGGGGAGCACCCCGTCAGTGACATGGGGGGAGAAGCACAGTGTCATGACATGGGGGGAGAGCACAGTGTCAGTGACATGGGGGGGGGAGAGCACAGTGTCAGTGACATGGGGGGGGGGAGAGCACAGTGTCAGTGACATGGGGGGGGGAGCACAGTGTCAGTGACATGAAAGCACAGTGTCAGTGACATGGGGGGGGGAAGAGAGAGCACAGTGTCAGTGACATGGGGGGGGGAGAGCACAGTGTCAGTGACATGGGGGGGGGAGGAGAGCACAGTGTCAGTGACATGGGGGTGAGAGAGCACAGTGTCAGTGACATGGGGGGAGGGAGATAGCACAGTGTCAGTGACATGGGGGGGGACGAGCACAGTGTCAGTGACATGGGGGGGGAGGTGTCAGTGTCAATGGGGGGTGGGAGAGCCCATGTGACAAGGGGGGGAGCGCACAGTGTCAGTGACATGGGGGGGGGAGAGCACAGTGTCAGTGACATGGGGGGGGGAAGCGGAGAGGCACAGTGTCAGTGACATGGGGGGGAGAGGGAGGCACAAGTGTCAGTGACATGGGGGATGGAGAGCACAGTTGTCAGAGACATGGGGGGGGGGGATAGACTAGTGACCGAGTGAACAAGGGGGGGAGAGCACAGTGTCAGTGACATGGGGTGGAGAGCACAGTGTCAGTGGACATGGGAGGGAGAGCACAGTGTCAGTGACAAATGGGGGGGAAGAGAGCACTGGCAGTGACATGGGGTTGGAGAGCACAAGAGTCTAAGTGGACTGGGTGGGGGGAAGCACCGTGTCGTGCCTAAGGGGGGGACCCCAGTGACAGTGACATGGTGGAGGAAGAACACAGTGTCAGTTGAAATTGGGGGGAGAGCAAGTGTCAGGGACATGGGGGAGGGAACCGCCCAGTGACAGTGCCATGGAAGGGGGGAGGAAAGCACAGTGTCCGTGACATGGGGGGGGAGAGCAAGTGTTCAG